TCTAAGTTTGGCCTCTCCGCCCTGATCCCCAAAGTGAACATGGGTCTTAGAGACCTGGCGTGACTTCCCGCCACTGCACCCGGATGGGACGCTGCTAGTTTCAGCTTGACGCCGAAGTCTGATGCAAAGTGTAAAAACAGCTTCAGATACCCAGAGACTCCAATAAGGAATATACCTTAAACCATATTAAGGATCCTACTATAATTTAAGGAATATTCCTTAATTCAGGAATATTGGAGTCTCTGGGTACCCAAAACCCTGGCTGAACACCCTATATAGGGTGTTCGGTCATAAGACCCACTCCGTCGCCTCGGGAAATGCTGCAGGGGTTTTGTTTTTTTTGGTTTCCGATTATTTGTAGACTTTTTTGGCTTCGCCAAGGCCTCGCAGAACATGGCATCATCTTGGTTTCATCATCTGGGCCACGGACATGCCAAAACCTCATGCAGTCCTGCATTCCTTGCGCCAGCATCAGAGCTTTCAAAAAAGCTTGCACGCAAGAGTATACAATAGTGGCCCACCAACCCGCATTGTCTCAGACCATGGTGAGCATGTTCAGCCATTGTCAGCGTTGTCCACGCATTCTTCAGTGTTTCCATTTAGAGGAGTTTCCGGTGGTTTCCCTAGACCGACATGCTATTTTTCCTTGCGGCCGTTGCAGCTGACGCAAATCCGTCTCTCCTGAGTCCGAGGTACCGGCTTCCTTTGGACGTGGTGCTGCTGGGGCTTTGCATTTGCGCTGCGTGGCTACAGACGGAGCCTGATGGTCCTGATGGTAGGCATTCCGGTCGTAGTCTGTTCGGGTAGATGATATCCGACCATTTCAAGGAACAGAGGGCAATAAGGTGGTTTACATAGCGGAATTGAAAGCTTTGACTGCAACCCGCGCAGGCTTGGTCTGCATACAAGGGACGGACAGTCTAAACCGAAACCCCAAAGGCTCGAACCACCAACAGCGTTTGTGACGTCTGTCAAGGCAAATGCCCGAGCAGACAATAGCGACACTGTGGAACTGACGCTCTATGCCGGCATGCGCCACTGGACATCGTTATTGTCGGTGTTGCGAGTCAAACGATGCACCTCTCATAACATGAGTAGTTCTCTTAATTAGGGTCCCTTTTTAGATCCCCAACATAGTACGGCACCCATATAAAAATGACCCACAAAGGGGGACCTTAATTTAGAGAACTACCCATATGTTATGCTGGTCGAAACCTTTTCCAGTTGGCAGGTTGTTGGGTCCTTGGGTCCGGGCTCCACATGGGACGCATGTGTTTGGAATCCTCGCATTCAGGGTGCTATGTTATGCTGCGTTATGCTAATATAGGGGGCTTAATGATTAGAATAGGGTTTGGGGTATACCATACCATAACTATAATAAGGAGCCCCCAAAACCCGTGTCTGATTATTAATTAAGGCCCCTACATTCCGCTCCTGTTGCCGTTGTCGACTGCCCGGGGCAGTTGAGTGGTGGCGGTTGCACGCACCCTGCCCTAGGCCCTGGACACTAAAACCCTAGCACCCGAAACCTGTGGGAAAAATAGCCTTGAGACCCAAAACCCTAAACCGTGACACCGTTTAAACCCCTGAAGCACCCAAGCTTTCAGGGGACGGCAACGGCGAGGCGATGGACCCTTGGAAGCAGAAGCCGGTCGGTCGAGGGTATTATCAGAGTTACGATAACGGTTTTGTAAGGTTCAAAAATTGGGGTTGGGATTGTTGGAATTCGGGGGGTGGGGGTGTGGAGTTTCGGGTTCGTGCCGAGGTTTAGGCCCAATGGCTTCTTGGGTGTAGGGTTTAGGGTTAGCACCTTGCGATGTATTTGGAGAGCAGTGCCGCGTGCAGTGGCACAGGCTTTATCATGCGAAACATGGTCAGGGCGCGACCGATGCATCGCGGAGCATGAACCAGAAGCCCAAACAGTAGGTAGTCTGGCGAAGCCAAGCACCAGCTGAAAAGCATGCGAAGGAGCGTTGCACCAATGTGCTGAGAGCAAGAGGGGTTTAGGAATTTGGGTAGAGTCCAGCAGCTGCAGGGAGGTCGTAAGCAGCTGAGGCCGTGGGCCTTTTCTCAGACTGGCGGGACATCTTCGTTCGAGTCACTCCTGCTTAAAAGTGCTGCTGTCGGGGCGCTTGAATTGTTGTGCCGTGCAGTAGCGATGTATGACCCCCTCCGTCACAGCTTCTGGTGTGTGGTTGGCTTGCGAAATGTCTTTGCGTGATTTTGGAAGATAGTCCTGGCTTTGTCATTCCGGAGTCGGCGGTGGCATAGCTTGCTAGCTACTACCTTTTTTCTCCTCCGATGCTACTCCAAAAAATCGAAGTGAGGGCAAGGACCTTGGTCCCAGGGGCTTAGGGCCCTTGACTCTGAGTCTAGCAGTTACCCCAGATCTCGAATCCTAAACCTTGTTTCAGGATTGCCGAGCAGCCCCAACTACATCAACCAATACAGACATATGCACAACTCCATGTCTGTGGTACATGTATAAGTCACGTAGGCAGCACGTACACAAAAGCGAAAAACACACATACAGACGCGTGCGTGCTCACTCGCTCACTTACTCGCTCCCTCGCTCGCTCACTCGACTCACTGCACTCACCCACTCATTCACTCACTCACTCACTCACTCACTCACTCACTCACTCACTCACTCAATCCACTCACTGCACTCACTCCACTCTCCCACTCACTCGCTCCGCTCCCCTCACTCACTCACTCAATCACTCACTCAACTCACGCACTCTCACCCACACACACACACACACTGTCTCTGTCAGTCTTGCTCGCTCTCTCTCTCTCTCTGTCTCTGTCTCTGTCTCGTGCTTGTACGCTGATTTTTTCAGACACCCATCATACCTCTGACAAAGATTGAAAATCTGCATATGCGCAGACCATGTTATCAATTTCTACCCTGCATGCATATGCAGCCCCTTCCCCCACAACCCTAAGTGTTGTAACTAAGTCCGAGTTGCAAGAGTCCAAGTGTTGTAAGTCAGCACGGTACCCGGGCAGTTGGGCAAGCATATTGGTTGAAATCAGTGTTTGGGGCTAGCAATTGCTGTGAAGCAGCTTGCCTCCACAGCTTACAGGTCGACTTCGAGTATGCCACGGTGGTCGGAACTCTCCTTCAGCCTCTTAGCAAAGTCCAGAAGGCCTTGGGAATCCGGCTCTTCTGTGGGATGTTACGACACGACAGCTACCACAAATGCTGCTGCCTTGCCACAGTGTTTTTTCTGCCTCTCCGGCTACTGCACTGGCACTTGAACCCTCGCACGCTGTTGTGCACGTTGGCAGCTAAATAGGATGGTCCCAAACCTGGGAAATAAGTTTAGTGAAACGTGGTCACTTTGGAGGATTGGCAGGGTACCTGGGATGGGTGCTCGGAATCTTTCTCAGCGGAGGATTTCAGGACAGCAATAAATGCTCATGCAGGAGCCTGCACATGATCGTTATCTCTCAGACTTTGACACCCGAGCCCGGCTCTGCTACATGCAGGAAGTTGAGCAGAAGAAGGGGGCCGACATCAGACTATCCACACAATCTCCTTCGGGGACCATCGGACAGTAACTTCCCGAAACCTATCATTTTGAGAATGCTGGCCTTCCATCACATCCTTACTGCCCAGCATCAGAAATTGAGCTGCTTTTTTTTGTCCCGACGGCTTTCCAAGGCTCTACTACAAGATTCAGAAGCGTTCAAGCTGCAATCAAGGGGCTGAGGGTTGCGGTTGCCCCATGTAATCGGTCCAGGGTTTCGGTTAGGTGAATTGCAGGCTACTCATTTGCTTAGGATTGCTCGGCTTTGTCAAGTCCTTCACATGCAGCGCCTGCTTCAGCAGAGACAAACATGTGAATCTGGTTGCTTGTCGGTTTTAGGCTTTCAGATCGAGTGGCCTTCCGGCCACACTGGTTCGCAAGTTGCAGACCCTGCAAGAACCCATGCACAGAACTGCTTGTAACATTGACCGAGTCGGCAGTGGGTTCCCTACAATGCGCTGCGCAAGCCCGCCGCTTGGATCATTATGACGTGAAAATTATTCGTTAGATCATGTCCTTATGAGTGGAAAGGTTCATGAACATGGCCGGCCACTCCCGAGGGTGCCATTGACATGATAAGTTGGACAAGGCGCATGAATGATGATTGGCATATGGTTGAGATCATTAGTTTGTAAGCATGATTAGCAAAGCTCTGTATTGTGTCGTGTTCGAAGATTTTCCACGGTACTGACAACCTGGATTCGAACACCACTGTCAGCTGTGTTTCAGAGGGTTTGCTGTGGCTCGCTTCTCAGGTGGCAGCCTCGTCGCAACTGATGTAAGAGCTCCAAACCCTGCCTATACAATCCGGCTATACCTACAGCCAAAACCCCAAACCCCTATACTGTACAAGTTAAAGATCGTACCACTGAGACCTAGCTCTGTCAGGCTTTCATGGCAAGGCCCTGATGTGATGTGCAGGATAGTGTACCTCTGCCCATCATACCGTCTGTCAACGGAACTCGCCCTGCAGGCGTGATTGTATCACTTGTGTTTGGAACGTGCCTGGAGAAGTAGCTATTCTGGCATGCGCTTGTATTTCCTCAACACAACTCAGCATCAGGGCTTTGAGGTAGTGGCAGTGGAACTGGTGGTAAGGCTAGTCGCGGAAGCCAACATGTCAGTTGAGGTGATGGCCAAACAGACAGGCACAGTCGCGATCAATAGTGTGGTAGTTGAGGTCTCTCTAGATACCTCAACTAAAGAGGTCAGGTATAGCGCTGTGAGCAGAGCCCCGGTCCTTGTCTTGCTGACCTCTCCAAACCGTGAATGCCTCATCACTGCATCATGCCCATATTCAGCATGTTGACGCGCACACACACACACACACCAGTTGCAGACTCTGAGCCTGCAATACCGAGCTCTGATGCACAGAATGATGGCTTCCAGAATAAAGTTTGAAGTATAAGAGCTTCCCTCTCCTCTCCAATTCCAGAGCCTTCCAAAGCGCTCCTGCAACAGCTGATGAGGAGCGCTGTGTCGTCAACGTGCAGCCCTTGGACTTTGAACGCCATGGTGGCCTCATGCACGTTGGGGCCACCGGGGCAGCACGAGCAAAGGTCTAGAGGGGGTGTCGCGAGATGTTGATGCATGGTAAACCGCGAGCAAGCTGGATGTCGGCTGAGGGTTCCTAAAGCGGCGCGGAACTGGTGCCGTTGGTTTGGTGCTGTGTTTCTGTCTTCTGCTGCTGAAGCTATTGGCAGTAATGCTGATGTCATGTTGACGGCGAAAACGAGGGACTGCGAAGGAGCAAACGTAAGAGTGAGGCCAAGGCTCGAATGAAGACTCAGATCCGGGGACGAGGGGCATTCTCGCCAAAAATGGACCATACCTTTTCGAAGCGTGAGGAAAACATGTGGACTGGGGGCGATCAGCTGGCCACACCCGAGACTCGGAGCGGCCTGGCCCATGCTGCTTGGCGAGGAGAGGCTTAGGATTCGGTAGCAGGCTCAGGTTATTATTGGCCTGACAATGCCAATCTCCTTATCAAGAGTGGGAGAGCATGTTTTCGGCGTTTGTAATGTGATGCAAGTGGGTGTTGCGGTGCAGATGAGGTACATCAACCGCTCACGATGGTCATCGAACAGCAGGACGACTTCGGGCTTGCCTGGTTTCGAGCAGGTTCCAAAAAATGTGCGACCAAATTACCACACACGCAGTTCTTGCTCGGCATTGAATCTTTACCCCTTAGTTCATACGGTCCGCTGGGAGAAGAAAAGGACGAAGAGACTTGGTGGGTACTGCTCTCAGCTGCTCACCACCTCAAGCCGACGCCATGGATGAGGCGAGATTGCAGAACATGGTCAGGTTTTTCAGGCCTTGGGAGAGAGAGGCATCTGCGAGGTTGGTCTGTGAAGTTTCACTCGACTGCGTAAGGTCAATTTGGCTGCTGAGAACGACCCGTCAACATACCCAGAACCCTTTCAGTTTGAAGACTGCTCTCTTACCGGTACAGAGGCTACAAGTTGGCTACAGGTCTTGCGCGAATGACCCAAAAACTCAAAAGGACCAGTCGCTTGTTTCATGTCGTTGCGTACATGTCTTGTGGTTCGGAGCTTTGATTCAATACCAAGTCGCAGGCGCTTCGTGCATGCATTTCACGAGTCCGTGCTACTTGGCCTGCCTGGTGCCGTCCTACAGCCAAGAAGCTTGTGCAAGTTTGATGTGCCCGCAAGAAGAGTTTCTCCCATGATCAAGCATGCGGTGGATACCTTCAATGAATTGTCTTCTCCCCACTGAACAGCAGAATCCTCGACGACTGTAGTTTGTACGTGACCGCAGGTCTCAGCCCGAAGCGTTTCAAAAGTTTTTAGCTTTGCACAATGACTCATGGGCTCGTGAGTTCATTTCTCTAAGGTTCGACCTCTTGCAACGCCCTTGCTCGAAAGTGCCCCTCTTCCGCAGGTGGTCAACCAGAGACGTCTGTGTAGCATCCCGATTTCGTAGTCACAGTCAAAAGCTTGCAGGCTGCCAGGTCCTGTGAAAGGAGGTGCAGATGGCTTGCGCAGGCTTAATTAAGCCTCGAGACTCCATAGTACCAACAGCAACAAGCAGCAATGCACATGGCAATCGCCAGCACCATCAGTATCTCCACATATGTCCACATCATGAGCATGATCATAACAGTCACCACCATTATCGTCATTAATACTTCGGCCACATCCACCTCCACCACCATTGCCGTCACCCACCATTATTCTCGCCTGTCGTCTCGTCACCATAATGCCATAATGCCTTCGTTGCTGTCCATATGAGCTCATATGGGAACAAAGCCTCCTCCTCATCATCATCCTCATCATGAGCCTTCGATAAAGTCGAGAGAATGCTTCACATCTCAGCTCGTATTGACCCTGCGTCGTAGGTTCGTCCCAGCCAGGCGGGAGGCAAAGAGTCGGCACCCTCCTAAGCTCGAAACTCGAGCCAATGGCAAGAAGGTACTGACCAGGGATGTTGGAAAAAATTAATTTCTGCATTCTAGCAGACTATCTTGTTGCTGTCGAGTTTGAAGCTTAGGGTTGTAGGGCTTGAGGGCTTTTGGATACAGGTGCAGGGGTTTTGTGGCTTAGGGGCTTCGGGAACCAGCTGGTTGGACCTTGTGACAAGTTTGCTCTAATCGTGGGCCCATAGGTCATATGGAGTTTCCCGGCACCCTGTGCGCATGACGACAGGAATAATGGTAGAGTAGAGTCTGCAAATGGTGCAGCAAGAAGTACAATAATACTCACAATAGCCAGACTGGAAGAGAGATCCTAAGGTGTCCAGTATCTCTCTCTGTCTCTCTGTCTGCATGGGTGTGCGCGCCCTGTGGCAAGCTTGCCTTTGAATCGGGCCCCTTGCTCTCTACACAGCCTTTCTGTTTAAGCGATTGCAAGTTGTCCGAGGCATCGGGAGCTCCCATCCGACGAAGCGCCCTGGCTGTCAGCCGGAGTTGAGATGTACAGGTTCGGGATTAATGGAGGGGCCTTAATAATTACCACTACTATTTTGGGGGTTCCATATTATAAATATCGTAGAACGGGCCCCAAAACCCTATTCTGATTATTACGGCCCCTATATTCGCGTGTTGTTGATCTCGGACCCCGGGGCCCCTGCTTCCTCGCCTGGAAGACTCGTTCGAAACCGACAGCTCAGGAGCTGTTGCAGCTGTTCCTGCAAGATACCATCGACGCAGGCTTCTTAACTGCTAGCGAGCCGAATTAGTCTCGAACTATTTTGAAGTTTTAGCTTCTGGCGGCGGAGAGCTGCGGGGCCCAAGGCCTGCCGGGGCTGCCATTCGGGTGCATGTATACATGTTGGATGTAAAGCTACCCATAGGCCCTAAAGTAGTTCCTTTTTGGGGTTCATATATAGAATCCTATAAGGTAACCCCAAAAAGGAACTACTGTGGGGTTTTTGGGTAAATACAGAACAGTGGTTGTACCTACTGACAATACCCCGTGAGAGCGAGCTTGGCAGAGCCATAGGACGCGCAACTGCCGCAGATTGTTGCCAAAGATTCCAACATATCCCAGAACGCCGAAACCTGATACAGGAGCGCAACTTCTGACGATGTTCCATCCTCCTTGTTCCGGTGTAGACTTGCCTTGGGCACTCCAAGTTCTGTCATCTCCAGCAAGCTTTAAGGGAGGAGCTAGACCCTAAAGGCAGAATCCAACTGCAGTCAGAGTCCGAGCTCGTGGGCGTACATCTTAAATGTAAGCACCACATGTGCTTGCATGGAACTTTTTGGCGACCTTCTGCCGTGCGCCCGTCGCAGTTCCTACCAGGCCGGTTTCTCGGAGCTTCAGTCTGCACGCTGCAGGAAGAGATGGACAACCAGAGTCCGAACCAAGCGCCGAGCCTAAACTCTAGGCTCTCCCTATCCGGAAAGGTCTTAGAGCTGGTGCCACAGCCAACGGACTTTAAGATCTCGTTTCCTGTGCGATTTTGCTTCCATGCCATGAGATGTGAGAGAGTATCTAAACCGCCGGAACTCATTCGTACCATCAGTGGGCACAAACTGCAGCGAGTTCATTGTAGCGCTGCTTTGGCCGGCTGCATTATCGCATACATACCACGTCTTAAGGGCCGAACTACTCAACTTCCTCTGCTTCAGAGAAGCCGGGACCCTGATTCAATAATCTCGACGCGGAGAGCCCGGCACGAAATCGCTCCACGCCTTGCAGATGCTCCTTGGAAAGCCGAAGTCTTCTGGGAGCCTATGGGTTTTGTAGGCTGCGGGTGAGGAGCTTGAGTTAGCGAACCATCGGAGTAGCTAGAGATAGCGTGGCCGGGGATTCTCGGACGAAGCAGCCGAGAAGTGCAGGCAAGCACAACCTCCTCAGTAACGGTTCTGTTATGATCCCATGCTCGTTGAGCTTCTTGAGAATCCCTGAGCATCGACACTGCCTGCAGTGCGAGGAAACATGACAGCCGTGCACTCCTCATCCCCGTTCCGCTCTGCGGGGGTGGTCTTGTTAAGAATCTCAGTTTTACGATGGTGGCGAGAAGTACTCATTTGCCAGAGTCATCCCTATTATGCTGGCTCCAAGTTATTTCCTCAACAAGGATTCAGGCTTCGGAGTTCGTAGTGTGGTGCCAGATGTGTGGATGTCGAGAACAGAGACTGCTATGTTGGCTCCGATCGTTACCCATATAAGTCATATGTGTAGAGCCAGGCGATAAAGACAGAGATAGATGCCCCTGCATATATACATGCATCATCCGTCCCGTTTCCGTGAGTTCCGTCTCATCCTGTCCAAGTTTTAATATGGCACGGGCAGATGTAGGAGTACGATGCCCGTAGGTAGTATGCCTCTGTTTATTCAATCGCGAAACACATGTCGATCCGGTTTGGCACAGGATGTGCTGTGAGACTTTTTTCCATTGCATTGGCGGTGTCTCTAAGTCTAAGGGTTATGCGAATATATGACGTGCACTCACGTTCAACATCTTGCAAAGAAGGTAAAAATAGTCCTTGTCAGTTTCCGGAGCATGTGCGTGTTGTTTTCCGCTTTAAAATGCATTCACATAGCGTCAGCCATGATCCGCCATACACGTGCAGCTTGCGCACGGTGCAGAACTTGTGTACCAGAAGAGCACATCCGGCAGGACCAATGCAATTGTTATCTATCCTGGCGAAGTTTTGCTGGTTTATAAAATCGAGTATCTGGAAGAGTATGATGGAATGCAGCGGGAAACTCTGGAACAGAGCTGGCCAGAAGAAGGCAATGTCGTAGAAGATACCACAATGTGGTACGATCAAAGGATTTTTCCTACACCCGCCGATACTTTTATAGCCTTGCATTCCTGCACATGCATATGAAGCAGTACCCTGCCTATTGCCATGGATTCACCAAGTTTCCCGAACTCTAGGTTCGTAGAAGCCATTTCCAGATTGCGATATGCATGCGGACTTGTAGGCCGTTGTAAGTCCGGAGAACCCGCGCAGAGGGGAGCGTGGCACAGAGGCACAGGTACATTGTGTGCATGTATGTATGTAGTGCTACATGTATATTTGTATACATTTCTATCTATATATGTCAAAAGACATATACATTCACACAGAGAGACCTCTGGTCTATGCCGGAAGCCCAGCTCTGCCAATGCAGCATCCGGACCCTAAACCCTTGACCCGATGTCGGTAGCAAGCTCGGACCCTTTTGAAGGGTTTAGGGTTTAGGGTTTAGGGTGTGTTTCCTGGCATGTAGCAAGTCCGAGTTCAAAAGGGTGCGTAAGGCGAAACCCTTGACCTCGCCCCAGGCCGCACCCCACTGCACATCTGCGCCATTCGAGACAGCGCCGGGGTGGCCAAGGACAGGTTCCAAGGAAAAGAACTTAGGTTTTGTCGGGGTTCAAGCTTCGCATAGGCCCCATAGTAGTTCCCGTTTGTGGCTTATGTTTAGGATCCTATTAGAGAATCCAAACAGGAACTACTATGGGGCCTATGGGTTACCAT